TCTCGAGCAGCATACAAGCGGCAAACCCGGCGAGAGCTACGGATGCATCTCAAACGAATTCGCGACGAGATGGCGGGTATAAGGGCGGATTACAGCGCTAGCAAGAAGCAGGAAGTCAACGGGAAACTCAAGACGATGAATTTCAAGCCTTGGCTACAACATACGGGGCGTGATATTGAGTTCTACACACTCCAAGAGTCCCACGAGACATTCACAAAGGCCCTGAAAGAACCTAAAGCAGACCCATTCTTTGTAGACACTACAAAGGCGAATAACACTGCAAGCGATATCCTCGCCCGCGCAGTTAGGCGGCCGCATCCCCTAGAGGATATGTCGTCTTTACCTTGCAGTGAGGATACAGTTCACTTTCACGGTCTCGGCCCCTTCAACAACGACGACGAAGACGACGAAGAAGAGTACAATGATGACGAAATGCTCCAGCGATCTATAGAGGAAGACATAGCATTGGGGGAATCGTGGATGCCTTCATCGCCTCCAGTTGTCATGGCTGAATCTCTCGCAGATACTCCATGCCCACAACATCACACTCGGCCCTACGATAACATACAAGAGATGCTACGAGACTTTCGTGAGGTGCGAAAATGCTGAATAGAGCAAGAAACATACGGGATTAGCGTATACGTAGCCATTCTTGGGCAGTTGAGATAACCCGACTTGTCTCGAAACCAGTCTGCCGGCGAGCTCGAATGGTCGCCTGTAAAGCTATATTTAACTTCTTCTTCATGTCAGAGACTAAAGAGGAGCCCCAGAAGTCGAATCTAATGTGTATTCCGAATGATAACTTATTGTGTACGGTAGTGTGATGTAGTTCGTTGAGATGCACTCATTTTCATGCCCAAAATTTAGGGAGGCGACTGTTCTCGCGAAGAGAGGGTGCAAGTGATGAATAGATTATGTTTCTTGTCCTTAGATTCTTCTTCCTCCCTAACAAAAAGTGACTTCTTATAGTTCTGTCACCTGTGGCTGCCTTGTGGTGGCGATGTCGCCACCCAGGCCGTCTAGATGACGTTGTCATCTAGAAGGTTCGATACCACCGCTTAACAACAATATTATTCATCCTTCTCAGTCACCTTTGCTAGAGTCAGCCCGACTAGGTAACTTCCGGACCTAGATCGTTAACCCGTTTTCACGACACACCCCCTTAGCTATAGCCTATCCCGATCGGGTGTAGCTAAAAAGCCTTTTAAGGGCAACGATCGAAGGGCCGATCGACCGGTGTGAATAGGAGATACGAATGCTTTACCTTCCCGGCGGCATAGGCTTCCTATGGTCTTTGATCTGGTCTCGGAGGTCTTCTAACCGGGCCTCTAGGCGTAGCCGCTCCGTGAGATCTTCGAGCCCAATCATCCTTTGGAACTCGAAGAGTTTCTGCTTGGCAGAGCTTTGGTCAAGCCATCGGCTCTCATATGTGCCGTGGGGACCCAACGGACCCGGATTCGGCCTTCCTGGCATTCCTGACGTAGCCAGTGTTGATGGATATCGACATGCCTTAGCCGTGTAGATAGCTTCGCGCCCTCTTCGAGGAGCCTGATTGTCTGCGAGTTATCACACTCTACTAGCAACGGCAAGGGATCTGAATCCGTAAAGACGTCAACAACCGGCTTAAGAAGATTGCTTCCTTTGAGGCTTCTGAAAGAGCTAGGAGCTCTGCCTCTGTGCTCGACGTTGTGACTGTGGCTTGCTTCGAGGCTTTCCACGCAATGGTTCCCCCGAATAGGGTCATAACGTAGCCTTGAGAGCTCTTTCTGTCGAGAGAATTGTCTGCAAATGATGCATCACTCGAACAAAGAAACAGTTCGACTTTCTTTGAGCCCCCAAGCCTTATGCCGTACGAACGCGTGCCGTAGAGATAAAGGATGACTCTATCTACGGCTCGTTGGTGTGATTCGTCCGGGTTCTGGTTGTGGCGGGCTAGCCGGGAGACTGCAAATGCAATATCCGGCCTCGTGGATATGGCTGAAAAGAGCACAGATCCGACCTTCTGGAGATATTGATGTATCTCCCTTTGGTTTGCTTGGCTAGAAGCCGGAAGGAGCTCTTCGTTCGTGACCATCGGAGTGTCTGGGAGCTTCGAAGGGCCTAGGCTTTCGGGAACGTACTTATGAGCTATCTTGTCGATATACGAATCCTGGGTCAGCCAGATCGTTCGATGGGGCCGATCCCGGAGGATGTGTATCCCTAGAAACCATTTAGGTTCCCTAGGAAGCTCATTTTATAGCGTTCTTCGAGCCTTTGTATGGCTTCCTTAGCTAAGCCTTCATCTTCCTTTCGGTAGGCCCAGATAATGTCGTCCACGTAGAAAAAGACGGTCACGGCACCCTTCATCATCACACAGGGTTCCTGAGGGACTTTCTTGAACCCCAGCTCTTCGAGGGAGCCTGTGAGATGCTGTTGCCAAAGAAGAGGGGATCGGCGTAGGCCGTAGAGAGCTTTCCGAAGCCGTAGCACCTTCCCGGGTTTCTGGAAGCCTGGCGGCATCCTCATAAAGACGACTTCTTCTTCTTCAAGAGGGCAATTGACGAATGCGTTGACGGCATCCATCTGATCAAGCTCGAGGTCATACTCGGCGGCAATGGCCATGAGGGTCCGGAAAGACATCCCGGCTAAGGTTGTGGCCCGGGTCGGAAGGTCCCCCTTTTTCTGTTGGTTGCCGCAAACGACGAGCCGGGCTTTGCATTTCTGAAGAAGTCCATGCTTATCTGTCTTATAGATGAATACCCACTTGCATCCGAGAACCTGGTGGCCGGCAACCCTTTTCCAAGAAATCTCTTCAAAGGAGCCCATTTCCTCATGTGAGGCAAGATGATCTTGTTGGGCTTGGGCGAATTCCTCCCTATAAGGGTGATTCTCGAGTTGTTTCTGGGTTTCTGGTGGATCCGGGAGATCTCTCTTATGGACCTTGGTGGGCTTCTTTTGTGGCCTGAAGAGCCTCCCTGCTGTAAATGCTCCGCGGCATCCGTCTTGGATGGGCGTAGGATTAAAGTCCGAAAATCGGTCCGATCGGTCGAAAAACGGGTCTTCCTGTCCTATCCCTGTCTGATCAGACGCTTCCTTGGCTTTGCAGAGCAAGGCCGAAAAAACAGCCGCTGTAGGATTGTCCGGAAAGTGAGGTTTTTCCACCCCCTCACGGAGGGCTGCTTTCCCTCCCACCCCCTCAGGGGTAGCGACAGGAAGATGGACTGAAAAGACTGCCCCTGGTTCGTCTTCTGAATCCGCTGTTGTGGGAGGCGTCAGAAGGCCAGCTTCTTCGAGAACTCTAGCCCTCTCGTAGTCTTCCTTTTCCTGTTCTTCGCTTTGGTCTTCTTCTTCTTGGGTCATTACGACGATCGTGCTTCCTGCAGTGCTTTCTGCGTCGAGGCCTTCGATATCGGTTTCTTCATCGGTTTCTTCATCGAGAGCTTCTTGGTTACCTCTCTGATCCTCCGGGATCTCTATCTTCTGGATAAGCTCTTCGATGCCTGATAGCAGCGATTGTTGCTCGAGCTTTCCGTCGAAGAAGGTATGTTCGTCGAAAACAACGTCTCTTGTCGAGACAACCCTCTTAAGATATGGAATCCAGATCCGGAAGATATTCGTAGAATTATAACCGACAAGATACCCAATATGAGCCCTCGGATCAAGCTTCCGCAGTTTGTCCCTTTTCAATTGGGCGTTTGCAGTCATCGCGTAGGCCCTGCAACCGTAAGCCCGAAGATGTGACAGTTGGGCATTCTTGCCTGTGAACAGCTCGATCGGGGACTTCCATTCAAGTTCTTCTTCGGCCCCTGGCTTCGCGTCGGGCTCCGGAGCGTCGGACCCGGCGTTGATTTGGACCCTCGGCTCTCTTGGAGTTCGATTTCGAAGATAACATGCGGCTTCCACGATCTCTTTCCAGAGGTTATGCGGGAGCCTTGAAGCGATTCTCATCACCCTGCCTCTTTCTATAGAAAGGCCTCCCGATCTTTCGCCCCTCCATTCTGGGATTGGGTGTTTGAAGCCGATCTTTCCGCTGAAATGCCCTTCTTTCGTAACCATGCTGTGATCTTCTTCGTAAAGAGCTCCCCATCTGAGCGTACGACCTTCACTTCGAAGCCGTATCGGTCTTTCATCCAATGGACAAAATCCCTCAACACAGCCCAATTATGCTTCTCTTGGTAGGTCCGCATAAAATAGGGAAAACCATTCCTGTAAAGGCGTCTGTGATAAACATCACACGGACGAAGTCTTCGTGGTCTGCGGAAAGGTCGGTCCAGTCGATCCAAATCTCGTGACAAGGGCGATTTCTTTCCCGGTCGGGGTCTGCGGAAATTTGTTTCCTGGCCTTCCCTGAGCACAGAATTCGCACTCCACAGTCTTTGGCCCTTGATTCGAACCCCGTTTCGAAGGCCTAGCTTGTGGAGGGCCAGTGGGGGTGACCGAGGCGGGCGTGCCAGAGGTTGCCGTCTCCTTGGCTGGCCGGGCGAGGTCTTTGGTCCCGGCCCTTCGAGGTTTTGTTGCTTGGAAGACTGTGTCGAAATTCACGGTCTCCGCTTCTGCTGTTGGCCTGAACTCCAGGACGAATTGTTGGTATCTCCTTTGAAGAATCCCAATCGTCTGATTCCGCCGTACTAGCCTCGTAGGCTCCGAGAAGGTGTCCCAATAGATTCCTTCATCTCGTAGGGTTTGGAAGGAAATCAGGCTCGTTGAAAAGCTTGGGCAGTAAGCTACCTTTTTCAGCCGAAGTATTTGGAATGATCCGTCCGGTAAGGTCATCGTGAAATTAACCCTGCCGTACCCTCAATCCGGACTTCTGATTCCCCTGTGATTAGGTAGTCTTTCTGGGCCTTTCTGAATGACCGGAATCGGCTGAGTGTATTACACACGTGAAGTGAAGCTCCTGAGTCAAGGATCGCGGATAGGCGGAGCGGGTATTCCGATGCTGCCACCGATGACCCGGCTGGGTAGACGAAAGCCGGATTGGCCGTCCCAACCATCCGTCCTCGAACCCGGGTCGCTGGTTGCTATTTCCCATCTTTCTGGATTTCGCGGATCTCCTCGACCTTCTTCCGTAGGTCGGGGTTGTCCTGATAGCTTTCTGGGCTTTCTTGCACAGCCTTTCAGATCGATTGAAATGGCCTGGCCGTAATTCCTCGAAGACTTGCCAGCAACCCTCAAGTTCATGGCTGTCAAGACCACAAGCTGGGCAACGGTCTTTGTCAGATGCTTCCTTCCTCTTCTTCCGTGGCGTGGAATCTTCTTTCGGACTGGCCTGAAAGCCGGCTCCTCTTTTCACCGTTCCCGGGGCCGTTACTGGGTTCAATTCGACGATTTCCCTGACCTGGCGAGCTGCTTCCTGGTAGGTCCATCTTTCTTCTAGGTATTGTTTTGGTCGCTTTGGGGATTCTCGATGCAGTCCTGGCCTATGTGCTTGGTAGATCTTGAACTGGATGGCAGCGGCTTCTTCGTCTAGCCTTTTGCTTCCGCGGATAAATATAGCCGAGAAGCCGTCGGAAAGGGGCTTAATCAGGCTAGCTATGTCTCGCAGCCATTGGCCGGTCACAGCCTCCACGAGGAAGTACTGTTCAGCTTCTCCCATGATTTCCTCCCATCTAGCGAGCCAGGTAGAGATATTCTTCGTCGGAAAAGCTCGAAGATGGATCGTATACTGGGCTCGGATACGTTCCATCATATAGCCCCTCGTTGGGGCTGTCGAGGCCTCGAGCTTTACAAACCACTCCCGAAGAGTCTCGTCGTCGTGAAGGGAGGTCAACTTCGCTTTGCTAATCGTCTCCGTAATCGTCGTACGGGCTGCTGTGACGAGCCTCGTCTCGTAGAGGTATTCCTTTCGGCGACCTTCGTAGTCCCTCGATGCTTCAGAATAAGCCTTCTGCTGGCCTGCATTCAGATCAGCAAATCTTTCAGCCTCAGCGTTGAAATCACTGAATTCGGGGCGTTCAGGTAGTTCAAGGGGGGTCTTGTCATGTTCGAAGATGAGCTTGTGGATGGTCTTGTCCACACGGGCCCGAAGCTCCTTTAGCCACTTATCCCAATCCTGAGGCTCCGTAAGAATCGTGCGCTGGATGGTGTCCTTCGACATCTTGGTTGAAGCAGAAAGGATGATTAAGGAGAGAGAAATGGGGCGTAGAGGTGTCTTAATCGACGATAAGTTCAATCGAGAGCGGTTGTGGAAGAATGCAGCAGCCGGAAGTTACAGAAACACTGTTTCTCCCGGGCTCATAACTCTCGCGAAGAGAGGGTGCAAGTGATGAATAGATTATGTTTCTTGTCCTTAGATTCTTCTTCCTCCCTAACAAAAAGTGACTTCTTATAGTTCTGTCACCTGTGGCTGCCTTGTGGTGGCGATGTCGCCACCCAGGCCGCCTAGATGGCGTTGTCATCTAGAAGGTTCGATACCACCGCTTAACAACAATATTATTCATCCTTCTCAGTCACCTTTGCTAGAGTCAGCCCGACTAGGTAACTTCCGGACCTAGATCGTTAACCCGTTTTCACGACAACTGTCACGGAATTTTTGTGATGTCACGGAATTTTTGTGCCAACTAAAGGGCGTAAGACCTTTAGTGGGCTGCCGTGGCCCCACCACGCTTAGACCAACGGGTAGTCACCTTTTGCAGGTGCGCCACCCCATGGCATGTTACAAGCGTCCATTTAAGGATCATCGGGCCTGGTGAGCAGGCCCCACAGCGTTTGCACGTTTGTCAGGCCAGCCTGCGAACCTTTCGGCGCAAACCACGCTGGAGTCCACGGTGCGGCTCAAAGGCAACTATTGGACGTAAAACGTGGTGGGTTTGGCGCCGAGACCGGTTGCCACCATCTGGCTTCTCCCCCACCTTTCCGCGCTTTGAGGGCCTACAAAGCGATGTCAGAATAAAACCCCTGCAGAGGCATTTGTCTGGTACTGGACGGTTGCTACATCACAATTAAGAGACCGCTATTTCAACTGGCCATCCAAACAAGTTGCTGAGTCGTTTTGTAAACTAACGGCCGCTTTTCCAGTCGCTCGGGCCCGAGACGGTCTTCAGCAAGGAGTGGTAGTAGTCCAACCGGGAACGGTCGGTGGATCCGACAGCTACAGTACAGTCAAGACTTGAGACAAGAACGTCAAGTAGCTGATAGTAGCCCTATTGGCCAGGTCGGCCGCCGAGAGTGATGAAATTGTGTGTCCAGTACCTGCCACCATGGGCAGCATCAACTACCCGTTCTTGATGTGTTATAAATACGTCCGGCATGCCTTGCCACAGCCAAAGGCACGCCTCGCTCCAACGGCCACCAGACGACATGTCACAGTCTGAGATTATTCAGGCCATCTTAGCCAAGAGGGTCGCACCACAGCCACAGTGGAAACACAGAGCGCAAAATGCGCCCGCTCGGATGTCACAACAGGGAGTCAGAAAATTGTCGGGCAGTGGCATGTCCTCAAGGCCGGTAAATTCCGAGATGTCAAATTCTTTGAAGAACTTGACGGCACAGCAGACCACTCGCCAGGCACCCTGCGCCTATACCTCGCAGGGCTCAAGCAACACGTGGTATTTCGAGTGGCCCGTTTGGCCTTCTGTATCTGTCATGTGCTGACCAGGATACAGGGCAGTCGACAGCGGCCAGCACAATCTGTTGCAAACGCGACTCTCTAGGCAAGTGTTATTGCAACTAGCCAGTTCTACGCCGCGCTGCTAACTGCCTCACTAGCTTGCAAGACTTAGTACTGCTCCAAGACTCGCAGTACGTTGGAACCATGTCGGAAATACAAGGCGTGGAGCGACTAACGACCCGCAGAATAAAGGAAACCCAGCGAATGTATGTCAGATGTTCTGTCGTCATGGGCGCTCATCTGACCGGTTGAGAACAGTGTCAATGATCTGTTGCTGAGCAAGGACGAGTAAGCTCGCGCGCGCGCTGGTACTACGCAGCAGTCTAACTTGCCGTATAGGGAGAAAGATAAAGTGCAGGAGGTGTGGAATAGCATCAAGCAGTTGGTGGAGACGTATCCATTGCCTGGCCAGGACGACGTGAATCCCACCCTTTGCCTTTCCGCCGCTTCCCGAGTAGAATGATAGCTTGATGAGGATTTTCATTTCGCATACTCGTATTTCGAGCGGGGTGCGCAGGAGGATCTCGCTGGTCGATGTCTTCTAAGCCATGTTTTTCCATGCCAGATGGCGATCGTCCCTGCCGCAGCCAGGTCTTCGACACCCCATCAACAGGATAATTTGTCCAGAATCAAGTCACAGATGTGTTGGTGTATGGTACTGGTCGCAGGCCGGCAGGGAGCCCCTTGCACTCGCGCTACCTTGAGCCTGAAGTGGCCCGTCGCACCTGGCACCATAGCGTCATCCGACCGCCGAAATAACCTGTTTGGAGTGAGGGCTGCTTAACGAGGAACAAGGGGACAACGGAGTGGAAGCGGACTATTGGGCGTCGAAATCCTGCTTCGCGAGTGTCCGCCTATGTTGAGCTCCATCCCGACTTCAGTTGCCAAGCCATCAGTCATGTTGCGGTGTGAGCAGCGGCATATTGGCCTCAGTATTCACCGGGGTGTCGTCGGAGCGTAGTTGATGGCAGGCCTCTGTGCTGATACCGCGCAGCCCGTTCCCCTGTTCCCCTCTGCTTCGTCCAACCCTACGACTGTCATGAAAACGGGTTTACGATCTAGGTCCGGAGGTTACCTAGCGGGCGGGCTGACTCTAGCAAAGGTGACTGAGAAAGATGAATAATGTTGTTGTTAAGTGGTGGTGTCGAACCTTCTAGATGACAACGTCATCTAGGCGGCCTGGGTGGCGACATCGCCACCACAAGGCAGCCACAGGTGATAGAACTATAAGAAGTCACTTTTTGTTAGAGGAGGAAGAATCTAAGGACAAGCAACCTTAATCCTCTTCATCACTTGCATTCTCTCTTCGCGAGAACGACCGCGGTATGCCGCCGAGAGTGGCTCCTCCACAACTCTCCCCTGTAAAAATTCTGACCCTGGAGAGCTGTTAGCGGCTTGCTAGCTGGGGCCAGATTTACAGGCCACCCGACCGCGCTTTGGCTGCGGATATGATCGCCTTGGCGTGCACAGCTGGATCAGCGCGGCCATCTGAAACCATCTACGGCTCGTCATTGGCCGATCTCTAATAATTCACATAACTACGGCGGGGACAGGAATTCAAGGAGTCCGCCTGATATCAGTCAGCCCGACCATAGATGATACACCAGAAATGGGACATATTCAAGACACTATATACCCGATCGGCGATCGAAGCATTTTGGATTTGACTAAGCCCACGAAAGCGTGGAGCATTTAAAGATGGCTGAGGCTCCCCTCGTAGTAATAGTGTCTATATTACTCACAACTGGACTGCTTGACACTGTTATTATTCCCACTTTAAGCACCTTTAGCAAAAATGAAGGTTACGATAGTCCTTTTGACAACCCTTGCTGGGTGGGGACTAGCAAGCCCAGTGTTGGATGCAGAATCGGGGGCGAAACTGGAGAAACGAGCGGTATCCATCCCGTGATTGACGATGTTGCTTGGCTGCTCGCAGTATACTGATATATATGGCAACTCTAGGTCGTAAGTATTCATCCCGTGCTTGACGATGTTTCTTGGCTGCTCGCAGTATACTGATATATATGGCAACGCTAGAACGTAAGTATCCATCCCGCGATTGACGACGAGCGTTGGCTATGCCCGCAGTATACTGATATAGATGGCAACTCTAGTGTGTAAGTATCTATCCCGTGATTGACGACGAGTCATGATTACTCGAATTATGCTGATATAGATGGCAACTCTAGTGTGTAAGTATCTATCCCGTGAAAGACGACGAGTCTTGACTGCTCGCCATATGCTGATATAGATGGCAACTCTAGTGTGTAAGTATCTATCCCGTGATTGACGACGAGTCTTGGACTGCTCGCTAGTAGTATGCTGACATAGATGGCAACTCTTAGGTCGTAAGTATATATCCCGTGATCGACGACGAGCCTTGACTACTCGCAGTATGCTGACGTAGATGGCAACCCTAGATCGTAAGTATATATCCCGTGATCAACGACGAGCCTTGACTACTCGCAGTATGCTGACGTAGATGGCAACTCTAGACCGTAAGTATATATCCCATGATCGATGACGAGTCTTGACTGCTAGTATGCTGATATACAGGGCAACTCTAGCCCGTAAGTATCTATACTATAACTGACGACGAGTCTTGACTGCTCGCAGTATACTGATGTAGATGGCAACCCTAGGAAGTAAGTATTTATCCCATGATTTGACGACAGATCTCGGCTGCTCGCAGTATGCTGACATAGATGGCAACTCTAGAGGGTAAGTATCTATCCCGTGATTGACGACGAATCTTGACTGCTCGCAGTATACTGATATACATGGCAACTCTAGTGGGTAAGTATCTATCCCGTGATCGACGACGAGTCTTGACTGCTCGCAAGTAGTATGCTGACATAGATGGCAACTCTAGGGCGTAAGTATCTATCCCGTGATTGACGACGAGTCTTGGACTGCTTGCAGTATGCTGACATAGATGGCAACTCTAGTGTGTAAGTATCTATCCCGTGGACGACGAGTCTTGACTGCTAGTATGCTGATATACAGGGCAACTGTAGCCCGTAAGTATCTATCCCGTGATTGACGACGAGTCTCGACTGCTCGCAGTATGCTGATATACATGGCAACTTGTAGAGTGTAAGTATCTATCCCGTGATTGACGACGAGTCATGATTACTCGAAGTATGCTGATATGCATGGCAACTCTAGTGTGTAAGTATCTATTCCATGGTAGACGAGTCTTCACTGCTCGCAATATGCTGATTTAACCCGTAGGCCGTAAGTATCTATCCCGTTGTTGACGAGTCTTGACTGCTCGCAGTATGCTGACGTAGATGGCATCTCTAGGTCGTAAGTATCTATCCCGTGATTGACGACGAGTCTTGAATGCTGGCAGTATGCTGATATACATGGCGTCTGTAGCTCGTAAGCATCAATCCCGTGGTTAACGACGAGTCTTGGCTGCTCTCACAATGCTGATATACATGGCAACTCTAGAGTGTAAGTATCTATCCCGCGATATCAGACGA